GATGTTAATCTGAAGTACTGACTCTCTGTGGTCATTAAAGATCCCAGGATGTCCTTCCAAAAAGAGTAGGGGTTTCACCTTGACATCTTGGCCAAATTTGCCCACTGGCCTCTGTCCATCATGGCCTCCTATAACCATTCCCATATCATACTTGGCTTCATCACTCTGTCTCCTCTCTACCAATCAGCTGGTGTGGGGTCTGGTGCAAAATGGCTGCCTTCGCGTTATTGAGGTGGATGCTGCACACTGGTGGTGGATGAGGAGATTCCCCCTACAGTAGGTGAGAGTTTAATGTGACCATTACCGCGTTGCTTATACCGCCGCTGCTTTAAATGGGCAAGCACGCGTTTTTAATGTATGACCGCAGTTTATGAATATGCCAGGGTGCACAAAGTGACGGGATGCGAACGGACAGAAATAGCCTATATGCTATGCTAAAATATGCTACTTTACTTATAAATGAAGATGAAATGATAAAACAAAGCATAAATTCTTCATTAATCATAAAAAAATAGTTAACACACTTTATTATCATTGTAAACTTGTTAAGTGCAATGAGGATTCACTTTGGAAAGTAGAATTGAAGAATTAAAAGACAACTAAAATGAAAGCCCAAACATTCAGTACAAATAAGTAGGCCTAAATAAATAAATAAAGCAGTCTTTAGCCTAAATATAGAGACGTTCAGTGTTTGCTATTTTGATAGAACTAAGACAGTCATTAAATAAGCTTTTTCATTTATGTTTTCATTTACGTTTTTATTTATATTTTTGTTGTTAATTATATTTTATATAATATAATAACAGAATATAATTATTCTCAGTTATTGTATAATAATAATAATAAACAAATAATGAAAAATAAATGAATAATGAAAATAGGCCTAAATAATTATTTATTTAAAGACATTGCAGCAAAACACTGAGAAACGGTCCAGCGCATGGTCTAAATATCTTAAGTTGAAAGCTGCTTCATCAAAAGCATGAAAATCAAGCATCTAACTGAAAGTAAAATAAAAATAAATTAAGTCCCACAAATTAAATAAATTAAGTCCCACATGTTTATTTTTAATAATTTAGTTTCAGTTCAGTTCAGTTTTTTTTTTTTTTTCAAGTGTTAAAGTATAATTGTTGTTTTGTTTTTTTGTTTTTTTACTTGTAGTAATGGCTCAGCATCTTTTGTATTTTAATTTCAGTTTCAGTCACTTTAAGTGTGAAATATAATGCGCGCATAACCACATAAAAAGAAGAAAAAGCTGTCAAAAGTTAGAGCAAATTCATCAAAATTAGCCATATTAAAATACAGCATGTAGGTTAGTACAGGCAGAGTGTGAACAAACTCAGGGTAAGGCTAAGATATGTGCTTGCCTTTTAATGCATTTAAAAAAGATTTGTGGTGAACCAAGAAGTGGTTTTAGCCATAGTTTTTCTAAGCCGTTTAGATTAAAGAATATATTATTTAGCCTAGGTTTTCTATTGGTAACGCAGCTGTGCATGCGCTGTCAGCTAAATGCAGACATAAAATAAATCTTAAAAGCAACTAGATTTTTAAAGGGCCATGAAACCCCCTCATTTCAGCAGGGTGTTTTCACACCTCTACTTTGGAAAAAGTCAGAAAAGTGGGCGTGTCCAGCTCTGTTTAGGGGAGAGTGTGGGAGGAACTAAAGTGGGATGGTGTGGGAGTGTCTATTTGGGCATGCGAAAGTTTCAGAGCCAAAATATACACACACACACACACACACACACACACATGGTGGTGTTTACATGGACATCAGTAGTCAAATTATTTGACAAATTATTAAATGGTGGACTTTAACTGCAGTTTGGCTCTTTCATTCAGGGAGTTCATTAATGTCCCTCGTGACAAACGAGATATTTGATTCGAGGAACTGCTCTAAGCGTGTATTTTTCATGCAATGTTTGATACCCCACGGCGAATGAGAGAAAAAAAAAAACCTCCGCATTTCCCTGAAACTTAGATGCACATGGCAGGTAGTATCAGAAAGCCGCGTGTGTTATTCCGGTCACAAAATGCGGTGAAAACCCTACACGAGGTTAAAGTTTGGTTGTGGTGCTAACATGTTTACACTCGGTGCAATAATTAACTTCAATACGAACAAACTGAAAAACTTGTTTTGCCAACACAACGTGGCATCTTTGTCGTCTAAACACTGTGACAGTAATGAATATTAATGAAGTTGCACAATAGAGCGCGCTGATAGGTTTGAACCAAGCCTTACTCATGCATTAATGCATCACACTGTAAGACGTAATAAGACACACTCTGGCACAGATGCCCAGTCTGCACGCTGGAATACACGCTATTATCTCATAGCCGTGACGCAGCTTCAAAAATTTGTTTCAAACCGGAAGTACGAATTAGCTTGAAATAACGCAAAAACAACCAATTTACACTTTTTAGTGTTGGTGTTTCTTGACCCTTTAAAGTTCGTCGAGACAAGCTTTGAGGCTGGCTTGAGAAAGCCTGTTGGTAACAGTTAATCTAGTTTAAAACAGTCTGAAAAAGGATAGATAGATAGATAGATAGATAGATAGATAGATAGATAGATAGATAGATAGATAGATAGATAGATAGATAGATAGATAGATAGATAGATAGATAGATAGATAGATAGATAGATAGATGTTATTACATGTAATGTAATGTATCATTACATTATAGATAGCATGTTTATTACTAAGAAAACTAAAACAAAATTATATTTTAATTGAACATATTACATCACATCAGTTATGCATACAGAACCGTCTATTTAGTATTGTGAAAAGGCAAAGCTGAATATCTGTGCCACTCAGTGGTCAAAAGCTGCTGGCGCACCAATTAACACTGCCGCCGCGGTATGAATGGCGGCAAAAGGAACACGTTGAAGTAGTGACATCTGTATGTGTAAAGCGCTTTGAGTGCCCAAAACAGCGCTATAAAAATGTAAGGAATTATTATTATTATTAACAATCAGGTGAGAGAAATTAGAGCAGAGCAGCAAGAGAATCAATAGCAGGAACGAAAGGGAGACAGAAACAAGACAGGACAGAAACAAGGCGAGAAACCCTGACAGAAGGTTAAACTCATCAGAAAGATAATAAGAACTACAACTGGTGATGGTCTAGGCAATCTGTAAAAAAACTTCCTTCTATACACGGATTCAATACTCAGCTGTGACTCTCCAATTAATCTGCTAGACCACCTGTTAATCTGGCTCAGTCTATTCTTGTCTCTAAGGGTCAGACTTCCAAACCATACCACCAGAGCAGGATAAGGTAGACTCTATAAAATCATGATAAAAAAGAGTGAGCATGAAGGGGCTAATGTGAAAAGGGCCCCTGTTTGCACACCGCTTCACAGTTTGTCTCAAAATTTAAAGAATGGTGAATATTGGTACCAGATATCTGTAATTCTCCACACATTCTACTTTTTGACCCCTGATATTAGTCATCTCAGATGGTTGATTATTTGTTCTAAAATCAATAATCATTTCCTTCGTTTTTCTTGCATTGTTTAAGATTTGACTTCTCATAAAACTGAACAAAATTAGAGTTGTTCAAATAACAAACATGTTGTGCTGTTTGGGCTTGGGCTAATTGCAACCATCAAGAAAGAAACAATGTATGCAGTTGCAACTCTCTTTGATCCATGTTTCAAAGCCAGGTATGTCTATTAAAAATTTTTTATTGCTTTTATATAGATTTTTTACATTTACCATGTTTTACTTTATTAGTGCATGTGTTATGTATTTTTGCATTTTTTAAAATAGTCCTTTATACAAATGCTATTGTCAAACACATTTTGGACTTAATAGTTTAATAATTACTGATAGATCAAGTGTATTACCACACTAAATGCTAATTTGAAGGAGGTTATGTTTTTGTTACATTTAATAACTTAGTATATTAATGTTAGGTTCAGATACTTCTCAAGTGCAGACAGCATAATGCATGCAAAGGATGATCTGACATTATAAAGAAAGCACCACAATTGGAGAAGAGACAGTGGCAGAAAAGAAGGGCCTGTTTGAGGAAATCTAGCTAGAGCATAATGAAGAACATGGTGCAGGAACTACAAGAACACAAACTGAACTTCAGACAGATATGAAGGAGCAATCAATCTCACATTCAGATAGCCAATTTCAGTACTGGCAGTTTTTCTGTGCACCTAGTACCAGTGCTGACAGTGAGAAACTATTCAGCACTGCATATACCATCTTGGATGCCAATAGAAACAGGTTTGGGGAAGAAAGCAGAAATGCATATTTTTTGAAGAACTTTCCATTATTGTTGAAACTGTAAGCAATACTTTACAATACTTTTCCTTAATCTAAATTGAGGAATATCTATGCTTTATAAATCCCTAATAATGACAATTACATTATTTAACTTGATTAAATTTTAATTTTAACTTGAAATAAGTAAATAAAAAAAAAATCAAGCAAAATAATCTGCCAATGGGGTAAACAAAAATCAGATGCTGAGAGGGGATACATACAGATATATAAATGCACACTAAAAAAGCACAGTAGATGATATATTGTCTTAAGACTAGCATATTTACATTAACACAAAATAATTTCACAGGGACTTTACACATCATAGCGACCCAGGTTCATTACGGATACGTATCCCTGTCTTCATTTCTGGGGAAATGGGGACAGTAAAATGCGTAACTGGAGGTACATCTGTGTATGCTTTTTGAGGATCTTAAATTTGTGTTGCGCTTCTTCTCACATAAATCCATGTGTCCATGTCTTCTTCTCGCATAAATCCATAAAACCAATAAACACTTCTGCCGACCAGGCCAGCTTGCTACTGACTGACTGACTGACCAACAGGCTAAACCACCCACCCCCATCCCTAAACCTTACCGATAGTGTTCTCAATAGCAATCTAGAAAAAGAAAATTAGCTACGATTGCATGATTTCACCATGTTTTAAACCTGTTTTTTATTAATTATTATTTTTTTTGCTTTTGTTTTACATGGTTTCTAGAACTGTGCTTCAACAGACTCTCGTCATCACGGTCAATTCAGCTCTGTGTCCCAAGTCCATCAACATACACGGCGAGCTACTGAGCAAACTGATAACACCAAAAAAGCTGTTTATATAGAGGTAAGTAGTCCGCTGGTAATGCAAAAAGCAACAGAAGCCATCAACAGCATCATACCACCCCGTAGCATTCTTTCTAAAGACAAAATGCAGCTAGACATAACTCTGGCTACATAATTCATGCTCTCCAGAAATGTAGAAATGTATACTTATCCATAATGAGCCTGTGTTGCATTCTAGTCATGTCACATTAGATTAAGAATATATTCCAAAGTAAGCAGAATTAGCAACAACAACAAAAAAAGGTTGGAAGTGACCAACACAAGAAAAATAATTCCTTTGGTTACCTTTTCATCAAAGTCCAATTTGTTGGTGAGGATCTCTTCTGAGTATATCAATTCTTTCTCTCTTTTCAGCCCTTGTCCTTCTTTGTCAATGATTTTCCAGATGAATAGACAACCATCTTCTGAGACTGTTATCAGGAACTGGTCATCAAAAGTGATAACCATCTATAAATAAATAAAAAAAAAAAAACAATGAATAACATGTCACTTTTAACTATGAAGTCAGGAAAGAGTAGATTGACAGGAAAAAGTAACCCTTTATTTTACTATTATCATTATTCAGCAGGGATTGTGGCCTAATAGTTAGCAAGTAGGAGTAGCCCAATTCCTGCTTCCTGGCTGGAATAGTAGGTGCGAAAAGTGAATGAATCACAATCTCTCCATCTTTGATGCCCAGCTGACGTGCCCCTGAGAAATACACCTAACATCTATTGCTCCCTGGGTGCTGGAAGCAATAGTCGCATATTATTATCCTTTTGTTCTGTAAGACCATCATTTTTTAACACTTATCCCATACCTCAAATATAAAACTTGCTAAACTTAATAAACAGCCGCAAATTAAAGCAAATGTTATTCACAATAGTTATTCACACATACAGACTTTCCAGAAAATTACTGGCAATTTTGGCAGTAATGGCAGCTACACTAGTATTTCCATAGAAATGTAGCACAAACTGGTCATATTGTTATTTGCTTCAAGCTACAGATATAAAAAAACAGAAGTATCATTGCCCCCTAGCTGCTATTATTTATTTAAAACCTAGCATCATGTGCCTGATAGAGCTGCAATTTCACAGTTTTTAAATCTACTGTATCTTTTGAATATTCCTCAGCAATTTAAGGCTGATTTATACTTCTGCGTCAAGGTTATGCTACGGCGCAGCCTACGTGTTGACGCATAGCCCTAAGCCGTGACCGTCGCTGAAGTGCACACCTCAAAAAATGTAACTACACATCGCATTGACGTGTAGCGCTAGCTCTGTGATTGGTCAGCTTGGTAGCACTGTCGAGTCTGGGCAAGACCGAGAGTCGCGCGAGCCAGATGGAGTGATTGTTTACAAGCATGGAGTCCCGTGAAGGAGCTCCGGATGGAAAGTTTTGTTTTGTGTTTACCTCATAGTTAAACTTGTTGCATGTCCGCCGGTTCCTGCCTCAAAATGAGCGAGTTTGAAAGTTGGAAGTTTTGGAAGTGTTAATGCAGACCAACAGAGACAGCGCAGAAGTATAAATGCACAGCTACCTGCGTTGCATGTGCCGTGGATTACGCCGGTCACTTGACGCAGAAGTATAAACCAGGCTTTAGTCACTGTATTTTATTGCACAACAATTGTTTTTTTTTTTTTTTGGGGCAAGAAAAAAAGAGAAATCACTCAGCCGATGACTTGGCTGTCAGCAAGAGATAGTAACGTTTTGCCCACCAGGGGGGTGTTCACCTGATGTTGTGAAGACACTTAAAAACTCTTAATTGGCTGTTTTTTAAAGGGGAGGAGCAACTCTATATCCCACTCTCTCCTATTTTTTCAGTTCAGATTACGTCAAATTTTAAATAACTTTTTTTCAAACATTTCAAAGCATTTTTTGGGACCTTTAAAGGTTTCAAAATATGCACTAACCCATTATGTTTATACTGTTTTCTGATATCTACACAGAATGTATGTAGCTGAGGTGAGTGCAAAAAAAAAAATCCAGAAATGGTTTTACATGTCAATTTACAACCCAGGGATTTGGACCTAAACATTTTTATAAAATGTTTGCCTTATTTGGAAGGGTTGTGAATATTCATAAACTTGGAAGAGGAACTAAAATTAAAGGTCTGATTTTGCCTTATTTGAAAGGGTTGTGAATATTCATAAACTTGGAAGAGGAACTAAAATTAAAGGTCTGATTTTGCCTTATTTGAAAGGGTTGTGAATATTCATAAACTCTGCTCTCATTCTCTTAGCTCATGACTCTGGGCTCTATTTTGACGGTCCATGCGCAAAGTGCAAAGTGCATGGCGCAAACACATTCAGGGCGTGTCAGTATCCACTTTTGCTAATATGACAATGACAAAACATGTGTTTGCTGTGCATGGTATGTCATTTTCCACATATGAACTCTTTATTATTCAGCTATGCCTAGATATATCCCGATTTTCATTTCATGGCACTATTAATAGGGTCTTGTTCCCCTAAAAAAGGCTGCATACTAGGGATGTAACGGTATTGTAAATACCGTCATACCGCAATATTAAATGTTTTCGATATTACCGAAGTCGCATGACTCGGTAAAACTATAGGTCTTCTGAGAAAATTTGCTCAGGCGAATGAAGCGAACGGGAGGTAGCTGAAACTTCATTTCCCATCAGCCCCGGCGTGGCCATAATCCTTTGCGGTCTGTTGTCGCTACAGATCCAGTAATGCGGAAATGGAGTGTGCTGCTAGTAGCGGAGATGAAAAAAAGATGGAAATGATCGAACCTAAAGCGGGTGTTGTCGCCGCGCGCGTGCTGAATAGCGGTGCTGTCGCGCGCGTTCTAATCAGCTGTGTTGTGGCGCGCGTATTGTAAAGCGCCGAGGGGGGGTTGAGCGCGCATACTCAAGAGAGGTGTTATCGCGCGCCTACTGAAGGGCTGGACTGGACGGAGGTTGTGTCGCGTCGCGGGGGCACTTTTGATCGTTTTGGAAGGGCATTTTCTATCCAAGACTAAAAAGGGCATGTACACTGCACAGGTTGAGCCCTATGTGTGCACGTGCCTGCAAGTTGGGGAATACGACTAATAACAGTCATGGGGACTGCAGAAACACAGCACACTGTTCAGATTGATGCAGACATTGACTTGTACCGCAAAGAGATCTCTATCTCACTCATGGTTTGTCCTCTCAAGTGGAGGAAAGACAATGCACAACGTTACCCCACTGCTGTCAACATGGGCCAAGTCATATCTCTCTTGTCCCAGAATCCTCAGTCCCAAATGAGAGGGTTTTTTTCTGTTGCAGGGGACATTGTAAATACCCAGAGATACCAGCTTTTACCAGATTATAGTTATATGATAATTTTTCTTTAAACCCATCTCTATCTAAGTGAGTGATTAAATGTTAAATGTGATGAGTTTTTAACAATACTAAATTTAAACTTTATTTTTTTTACATGGTTTAATAATTTTTTGTTATTAAAATTGAAGTTCCTGTTTCAAAGCTAACAGATAGATGGCTAATTTGTATGTCATTGACACTTTTGGCACTTTTTTGGAGTATTTTCAAAAGTTTTTTTTTTTTCCTGTAAATGATTCAATAAATACCGTACCGTGACATTCATACCGAGGTATTACCGTACCGTGAAATTCTGATACCGTTACATCCCTACTGCATACCTTTGTGATAGGGCCAGCGTGAGCCTGGTACTCAATCCAGTCATTCTGGATCATTAGTGGGTATTTGATGACCCTCAATGTCCCAGTGGAGGTTCCAATGAAGATTGTGCGTCCTGAACGAGACAGAGCAACCGTGGTGCAAACCACATCACGTGAAGACATCTCCTTGAGTATCTGCAACAAAAATATTAACAATGTTTAAATTTGAAGTTGAAATTAAAGGTTGATTTATTTATTCAAAATAGATTTAAATATGATGTCACAGTATGAAAATTATATGATATGATGTAATTAAATGCATTTCTCACAACAGTATTGTTTTATTCTGATACATTTGATTATCAAATATGTGCATTGTACAATGAAATTCTATTGTTAATGGGAAATTATCTGCTTGCAATTGACATTGAAAAATAGTACTGTAATGCAAAAATGCAAAAGCTCAGTCTCTTAGGTTTATTAGAAATATATAGAAATATTATTCAGCAATTTAGTCACTGTATTTTATTGCAAAACAATTATTTGTTTTTTGCAACAAAAAAAACAAACAAAGAGAAATCACTCAGCCGATGACTTGGCTGTCAGCAAGAGATAGTAATGTTTTGCCCACCAGGCAAAACATTACTATCTCTTGCTGACACTCTTAGGTTAATTAGAAAACAAAAAGATAGTTATCTTTTAAGCAGTCTGCCAGTGCACTGTAAAAAATTATATCCAGCCACAGTAAATATGGCTCATTTAAACAAACAGATTTCACTTAAAAAGTTTAGTTTTGGACATTGCTTAATTTTAAACTACAAATGTTACATAAAATATTGATTTCACTGTTTACTTTATTTAATAAAGAAAAACAACTAGCAATTTTTAGTAAAGTTAGCAATAATTTAAGGTTTAGTCAATTGAACCCAATATTTTAGGATCATCAGATTATCAGATGACGCTGTACCACAGTGCGCAATTTGAGGAGTTCATTTTGGAAAATCCTTCATAATGGATATTCCTTATGCCTGCTTATAAATATTGCATGTCTAAATGTTTAGATGGCAATTTACAGTATAACGAATGGACGCTTTTAATAAATGACCATGCTTGACTCAACACAACGTGTTAACCCTGATCAACACAGGAGTGTTTGAAGCCAGGTCTGTCAGCTGATGTATTATATATCTGCTCCTGTTTGTATCTGTTAAGGTGCTTTTTACTGAGCTTTAAACAATTATCATTGTGGCCAAACACTGTTGAGCATGTGAACATGGTGGGAAATGCTGGTATAATGATACTTTTTAAAACTTAAAGGTTTTATTGTATTGTTTTATTTGTTTGTTTTTGTGTTGTTTTTTCGATTAAATTAATAATGAAAGTATATTTATAAGTAAATATAAGTAAAATTTGTTAATTTGTTTTTTTTTTAGATCAAAGAAGAATTCAAAGGATTGACGGCTGCTGATGTGGAGTCTACCTTCATTGAAAATTTGAACAATTACACAGAACAGCTCTTCCATTTATTTCACAAAAAGGGGGGAAGTGCAGGATGCAAAATCTGTGATGTGATGAAATTGCTGGAGCAGATATTGTTTACTGAAAATTCTGCTTGCCTGTTTTAGCATTTAAATTTTAGATGTTCATTGTCTCTACCATGTAATGCATTTTAAAATATTACAATTTATTTATATATTTTTTTCTATTTGCACTCAAAGTGTGGACATTCTCTGGGAGGTGGTGATATGCTGTCTGACTGTGAACCTGTCTGAGAACCTCGAGAAGCTGATTACACATTACCTGGTTAGTGAATGTAGTTCATTTAGTTCACTTTCAAATGAATTGTTTTAATTGCAAACCTGAAAATGCAATTAAGCATGTAAAATGTCAATTTAGAAAGAGAAACTTTTTTATATTTGAGTGATTTTAGTCATCTTAAATTGAGTTCAACAAAAAATCAAAATTTCCTGTTTTTTAAATCACCCCAGCCAATCGAAGATGTGGGTAACTGTTTTTCTTCTCTAGTAGAACAGCAAAGAAAATTTGGAACTGAAGCACCTGTGGTCTTAAATAAAATGCTAGTTAGCAGATGAAAATTAGTGAACGAAGACCACAGTTTTCTTTACATTTTCTTTACTGTTCTACTGAAGAAAAGTTCTGACTTTCAGGTTCTGATTGTCTTTTTCAGTTTCTTACTTTTTCCCCCTTTTTTACTTGGCTGTGCCTTTTTATTTTTTATGTACTGATGCATAATATACATTTTGTTTTATTGTTTTGTTTCAGGACACCTGTGGGGAAACGGACCAGCTGGACATTGGAGAGCACATACCAAAAACTGTGACCATACGCACACATACAATACGGATAATTTAGCCTACCCAATTTACCTATACCGCATGTCTTTGGACTTGTGGGGGAAACCCGGAGGAAACCCACATCAACACGGGGAGAACAAGCAAACTCCACACAGAAACACCAACTGACCCAGCCGGGGCTCGAACCAGTGACCTTCTTGCTGTGAGGCAATTGTGCTGAGTGTTTGACAAGCACAGCTTTGAACGCTACTTTTAAGAATACTCTTGAAATAGTTTTTGAACTATTGTTTCTATTAAAGCAGTACATTTGTAAAAAAAATTAGCATTTTTTTGAAAACCTAAAAATGTTTTCAGGAAATGTTTTAAGATGCATTTGTCTAATAAAGAAATTCTTATTATTCTTCTAATAAAGAAATTTATTATTCTTTAATCCTGTTATCTGTGTTTTTTCCACCTTTTGTAATGTATAGCTAATTTTAAGTTAACCGATAAGTGACTTAGCATTTTAAAGTTGAAGAACTAAACATTTTCAGGTAAATTAGCTTAAAATATTATAATTGGGTAAACAGAACTTTAATGGTAGAAATAGCTTAAATTTGTAAACAAAAACCGCTTAAAATATTAAGTTACACCAACCAATAAATTTGAGCAAAACCATTTGCTAGAATACTTAAAAAATTAAGCATCACCAACTAAAGATTTTTAGGTAATATTGCCAAATTTAAAGAAAAAATTGCTTAAAAAGAGGAATGCAAAAATGATGCACTATATTCTTAAGTAAATCTAGCATATTTTTTTTTTTTTAGTGTGGGGCGCAGATTGGATGCAGACAAAACTCACCCCCTGACAAATCGCTTGCACAGTAGAGCAAGAGCAGCAGACACAGGAATCAAGGAAAGTGTGCCAATAAAAAGAACAGCACTCAAACAGAAAAAAGAGACAAAAGAGAACTAAACTTAACTGGAACAGTCAGACCACGTTCCTTGAAGGAGGGAACCTCAACATGTGTCTTGTCTTACACACTATGAGAGATCACCAGGGGCCTCATGTATCAACGCTGCGTACGCACAAAAACTTTGCGTACGCCAGGTTTCACGCTCAGAATTGCTCACGTTTGGATTTACTAACAATGAACTGAATGTGGGAATGTGCGCAGCTCCATGCCAGCTTCATGGCTGGCGTACGCACATTTTTTGTGCGTGTCTGTTTTATTTCCATTGGCGACTTCTAGAGGCAGTTGTGTTAAATTGCTCTCTACAAAGTGTCTGAGCCTTGCAATGGCAGCTGTATGAGACGGGTTCATCTAGCAGGTATATAAGGTTTCCATACCATACAGTTGACCAGCCAAACATTAAAGCGCAATTTGCAGCAGTCGCCTGTTTTCCCAAGTAATCTGAGCAATCTACTGCACGCATATTTCTATAAAGACATTATCTAAAGATGAATTTGAATGCGTGAATCGGAAACATTTCCATTCAATAAATGTGCAAATAAAATATGATGCACAAACTTATTAATGATTCCTACTTTTCTTTCTCGTGATAAATAGTTGGCAAAATATGATATGTAGCAGGGGAAAAAAGAAGAAAGAGTTCAAAAGACGCTGGATTCGAACCAAGTTCATGCTCGAACGTGTCAAAATATGTTGACATGAGTCTTACATTTTACAACTATAAATCTCACTATTTCTTCTTTAATTCACTCAGTGCGATGTTCAGACCCAACTGTGTTAAACGCATCAGCTAAACTCTCCCACTCAATTTTTTTTCTTTTGTTGTTAATTCCGTAGAACAAACTTGCAAACAACACCGCTTTTCTCTGGTCTACCTCCGAAAGTAGCACCTACAATTCACGTTCTGTTCAAAGTTTCTCTTCTTGCTTGCTTTTGCCATTGCTTTTTTGTTGGATTTTGCCAAAGTAGAGTCATTTGCATATTCATACGGGGGAGGAGGCAGGAAGGGTTTTGTGCACGTGCATGTTGCGCTCAGTTTCACGTTCATTCAGATGTACAAAAGAATATGCGTGAGATTCAGCGTATGCAGTGTTTCATACATCTGAATTTTTTTCTGCGTACGCACATTCACAGCTTTGTGCGTATGCAATGTTTTAGTATGATTTCCACGCAAGTCTTCGTACATGAGGCCCCAGATGACCAATCACTCTGAAGAGTAAGAAAATGGGCCAATGGTTCCATTTCAGGTTCCATTTTGGAAACTTCAACATGTGTCTAAGACACAAAATGCCACAGCAGCTGGGTCCATCACACATTTAGTGAAAAGTTTGTAAAGCACAGTGTGAGTACACATCACCAAAAGTTCAACCTTCCAACGTCCCTAGAAGCTCTCTGTCTAGAAACCCCCATGGAGGTTCCAGAAACTAGTGTGGGTGCCAGATGGTGCCCTTTTTCTCAGAAAGGAAGTGTTTCCTAAGGGAAATTTGTCAAGGAGGTGCCGTCACTAGAAGTCCGAGTTGCGACACTTAGGTCCAGTTGGGCCAAAGAGGCACAACAAGCAAGACTTGCTCCTCTTCCTCCCTGACCTTAAACTAGGGTCTGTGCTAGCAGGCTCAATGGGGAAAAATGCATAATGCGTAAGCCCTGGAGCTAGCTGAGAGCAAGCACATCTGTGCAGAGCAGGGAAAAAAGAAACTGGTGATAAGTTGACTCATGAGGAGCAACAGGATGACCTGGGATTCTCAGAAGCATGCCCATATCAGCTGGACCATGCTGAAGTGAAGTCTTCATTCTCCCAGGAGATTGAGCTGTTTTGAAAGTGCATTGCCTGGCACCGTTGAGCAAGATGGCAAGCAAGCTGAAAGATGCAGCAGGACATCATACTGCCCGTAAAGCTACCCCATCCATGCTGTCCAACCTAACCATGAGGTTGATTTACAAACCTGCAGCGGCATGCTTAAATACTCAGCCCCCAGCCCATACTGGAAGCATCTGTTGAGTGACAGCATGACTGGACAGTTGTTCTAAGGGCACCATAAGCTCATAGAAGCAAAGTCCATCCATGTACAGAAGGTACTGAAGGCAGCCCATCTGGGGACCCACTTGTGAAGCCAGCTGAAGTGGTCTCATTTGAACAATCAAAGTGATTTAATAGCTGCTGCAAATGTCATATAGCCCAAGAGACTATGAAAAAACTTCAGTGAGGAACTGAATCAGACAGGATAGCACCAGCATGGTGCGCTCTTTAAAGTGCACTGTAATGAAGACAGAGTTCAGCTCTATCCCAATAAGAGAAGCTCTCCCCACGGGAGTGTCATCTTTCTGCAAGGGAGCTCGGCACAGTCAAAGAGAGCTTTGTCGACGTGGCGCATATCTACTAGGGTAAGTCAAAGGTGGTGTTCCGGGACCCCTTTGTGGTCATCGTCTTCTCAGAGGGCCAACTTGGTTCTTATGAGAGCATAGTCAGCCACGGTGCAGAGCTTACTAACCACGGCACCCACTATATGGAAAATAAGCCCCGTACCTGTTGTGCAGAGGGATTAGCAGGAGAGCACAAGGTAAGTGTTTTTATCTGTCATGTGCTTGTGTCTTGTATTCTGTTTGTGTTGGTTTTGTGTTTAGCATGTTGTTCATGTCTACATACGCCACAGGCTTTAGTGTTGTGTTACATGTTAACATGCAATTAAAGAGTCCTCTCATTAATCCCACCCTCATTGTTAACCCATTATTAAAGGGGAAATTAAGCATTTAGTCAAGTTTACATTATTTTGTAAATTGATTTCCACTTAAAGGGAAATTTATATGGCTATGGATATGAATATGGTTCCATTTTCTTAGCAGAACAGATACAGTGGAAGTAATGGACCGAACACAGAGATTGGAAAGTCTAATTTAACCCAATGCGTGAAGTTGTGGACATGGAGCTGCTGCAAATACAAGCATCATATGTGTGTCTAATTTAAATTATATATTTATTATATTTCTCTTTTTTCCCTTTTAACTGTCATTTGATGTGCTTTGGTGTACTCTCTGTATTATGCTGCCTAACTGCCTGTGGGGGTGGGTACTTTCACTTTTCACTACTACAGCCCTCACCTCTTTTTGTGTTCAAACTAAATTAAGATCGGCACGGTTTTTCACATGGCAGGTTTTTACATACTATATACATGTTGAAAGATAGAATTGATCGACTTGAAAAAGAAACATGTCTTGGCAATCCACAAAGACCTGACTAGTAAAGTGTGAAGTCATGTACCTTAATTGTTGCATTAGTCTGAATGTAAATCCTTCCTAAGGCAGTGCTGGAGCAGTGTGAGAGAGTAGACCAAAGCGAATCAAAGGATAGGTATTAACAAAAGAAAAATAGACAACTTAAGACACAACTTAAATGCTTGTATTTGTTGTACTTGCGGCAGCTCTGCAATGCTTGTCCACAATTTCCTGCAATATGTTAAATTAGACTGTCCAGTCTGTGCTCAGTCTGTTACTACTACTGTTGAAACCCACACAGGCAGTCAGGTTGGTTTACAGAGAGTAGACCAAAGTGCGGTAATTAAAAGGGAAAAAAAGAAAATAGAATATATATATATATATATTAAGGGTGGAGCCGAACCCAGATACGGTATTCGGAAAGGCACGAATAGCGTGTTTTTACGAATACTTATTTCGAACAAATACTTGAAAAATTATTTGTATTCGGGAGCAAGAAAAACATTATATCAAAAAGCAGCGTTTCCTCATGAGACCACAGTGCATGCCCGAGTGAGTGAGTGAGTGAGTGAGTGAGAGAGAGAGAGAGAGAGAGAGAGAGACGCTCAGTCAGAAGTCGGAGGGCGGGGCGGAGGTTAAAAGGTGTCAGGCACAAGCTTCTCCACAGCAACAAACAAAGAAGGCTCCGCTGAGCGAAAAAAATACTTCACTGCATCACTATTTTTGTTAAATAGATTTTTGTACCTTAATTGGGTTCCAGATGCAGTTTATGAACTTGTAGCGGAGTTGAAGCGGAGTTTGATCTGGATATTCCATTACGCTGCATTTTTGAAGTTTGCAATCGGATGCTCTCCGTTTACGCAACGTTAGCTCTGTTAGCACGTTAATTTAGACAATAGACTGTTGACAGAGTAACGTTAACGTTCGTTTATAAAGGTTAAAACGATGCTTGTGCAGTTGTGTCGAATAGTATGCACTTATGGGAGTTATATGGTTCGTCTACATTACTGTCTTTTGCAGACAGCAAGATATATGCTATAGGCTAGTTAACCTTAGCATAGCTTCCCGTCACTTTTTTATTAACTTGAAACTCCTCAAATACATTTGGGCACCCTGAAAAAGAGTGAGACTGCTGCTGAGCCATTTCTTGGTCCTCCACCAGTCAAAAAAACCCCAAAAAAACTTAATGTTCTTTGTGGAAGAATTTTACAGTCAGTGGAGCTGCAGATAAAACAAACTGATACTGTATAATGTGTGCAAAAGTGAAATCAGCAGAGGCAGAGATATTAAACATCTGTCAACATCTTCTATGCATAATCGTTCATTCATTTCTTTTCGGCTAAGTCCCTTTATCAATCTGAGGTTGCAACAGTGGAATGAACCACCAATTTATCCAGCATATGTTTTACGCAGTGGCTGCCCTTCCAGCTGCTACCCGGCACTGGGAAACATCCATACACTCTCTTTCACACACATACAATAGGGACAATTTAGCTTACCCAATTCACCTGTATTGCATGTGTTTGGACTGTGGGGGAAACTGGAGCACCCGGAGGAAACCCACGCCAACATGGGGAGAACCCAGTCGAGGCTCGAACCAGCAACCTTCTTGCTGTGAGGCGACAGTGCTACTCACTGTGCCACCACACAACCCTCTATGTAATGTATTATCACATGCACTAAAAGCATCCTCTCCTGATACTGTCTGTGAACCCCCACAAGCATCCATCCCCTCAATCAGCACAGCTATGTTCTGCTAAATCATCCACAAGCACCAAACCATCAACACAGCCACATTCTGCCCCAGCAAGTCAGTTTCAAACATAAAAAAACAAACAAACAAACAAACTTTGTGTCTGTTTTGTGGCAGGCAGATGACAATAGCAGGGCTGTATCTTTTAGTATTATACAGAATACTTTTGTTCTGCCAGATCTCCCAGTCAGGGTTTTATTTAGATTTATTTAGTTAATATTAGTTTTTGGAATTCTGTCCAATGGAAAGAAGTTCTTTCTGAAGAAGAACAGTTTTTTAAAGTATTATTAGTTTTTATTCTGTCTATTCAGTGTCCTTCAACAAGAATGGTTGTGGTGGGGTTCATAATATTCACAATGGTATTTTATTAGTTGTTGGTTTAACCATGGATGAGATAATGGCTTCTATGTTATTTTCTTTTCAATGACATTTCTTGTCACATGTTAAAAAACAACAACCAATATTGCATGTCTATAATTTATATAATGGTTATAATTAAACAATACTTTCACTATAACGTAAATTAGAAGTGTAATAGAAAAAATATATATTTTTGAGCCATTTTGAATTTTACTCGAATACAAATACAAATACTTTTCCCCCCTCAACAAATACAAATACAGATACAAATACCGGCTGCTCCGCACATCCCTAATATATATGTACATATATATATATATATATATATATATATATATATATATATATATATATATATATATATATATATATATATATATATATATATATATATGAGTTTACTTAATATATTTTCATTAAAGTGAAATCTATGCTCCATTTCCCCTTTAGGTTTATTATGTTCACTTAATTGTTTGCCAATTACTTCTCCTTATGCTTTGCTTATGTCTGCTGTCCTGTACCATTTGTAGTCTTTCCAGTATCTTTTTTTTTTTTTTTTTGTCATTTCCAGTGCTGTCCAGCCCTACTCTTTCCTGCCAACCCAGTTTGTTTAGTTGCTTTTGGTAATGTGTTTCCCCTTTGGGATGTTTTTGTTCCCCCTTTGTTTTATTATATAATTATTAAATACCAGCATCTCCTTAACCTCAACCGTGACACACTGTTTGTTTTAACTCCACCTTTCATTTTATATCCTATCTTTCTTTAATTAGAAAAAGACTGATTAACTATTACAATATCACGATTGGCACAACAAAAATAATTTGTTTTTATTTAAAGATTGTTAAGAACCAGTAATGAATAACTGAAAACTAAACTGAACTAAATTTTACTCAACAGAGGAATGGAATGTCAAATGTCATATTTAGTGATCAGTACACAAATATTTTGATGCTCTGTATACCGTCCTCGGTAACACTTTATAATAACTACACACTATGAATCATTTACTAAGAATTAGCATCTAGTGAATTCATTATTTGTTAAGCATTAACTCTACATTAATAAACGTTAGTAAGCAGTTTATAACTGCAGCTACAAATGCTGTATTCTTGGCTTATAAACACCTATATAATGTGCTTAATAATTGTATTTTCATACTTAGTTAATGATTTATTTTTCATTTCTAAATTAACTATCGCATTACTTACAAACTAGTTGTATTTAAGAGTAGTTGAGGGTTTTTAGGATAATTCAAAATGAGTTAGTAAATGGTTAATAAACAACTGAAATCAACATTTATATATCTTATTATTCAGGCATATACTAATAGTTAACTAATATGTTAATAAATGCTTTATTAACTCAACTTCACACAGTTTTGTGACCCCAGAAACTTTAAACATTTCTTCATCAGCAATTATCCAGATGTATATGCAAATCATTAAGCTTCCCAACAAAAGACCATAAAACTTCCCTTGGGAAGGTAACTTTCTCATTGGTCAACTCAGCTCTTAGGGGGGTTACCACACATCCTTATAAAAACTGGCAATCAAGATGGCCCCCCAAGGAGAGACATGGGGTGAGACCCCAAGGAAGAGCCCAGAGATAGTTCCTTCTACTACAGACTACACTCCCCCTCCCCATCTCCAAGTCTCACAGGAAAAGGATCGAGCCCCAGCGAACCGACATGGGAAACCAGTTTAACAGAGGGAGTTCTTCAGATCACAAAAGGAATGCAAGTAGCACTGCCAGACTTTACTGAACTGGTGTAACTAATATATAACCCTAAGGAAAACATAGAAGGGTTAAATTGATTATTTTTGATACGCGTGGTTTGGTCTTACAACATCTTTGGTTTTTACATCATTACACTCTCTCGAACTCCTATTTTTTCTTCCTTTACTCTGCTCTACAACCTGTATTTGTGTGTGTTTGTGTAAGGTAATAGTTTGTTAATAAAATCAATAAAGTTTCATTTTGTATAAAGAAAAGTGCCTGTGCATACTTGTGAATCTAATGCCTTGAAGATAGATTTGATCGCTGGATGATTCATTTGTTCAGATTTAAAGAGTCAATTTTTTTGAAGTCCTCTTTAAACTAATCTTCAATTCACTTTGAGCTACTCGCTACAAAAGTGAGTTATGCTATTTTATGCTATTTTCTCTCATAAAGTGCAAGTAACTGCACTGATGATGCCCCCACTTTTGGTAGTTCTTTAATAAAAAGCCATACATATATACATCAAATTAAACAAGTATACAGTGAAACTGTAACCTAACCATCAGAACACAGCATAAATATAAAAATATCACATGTTTCTCAATGTTTCTTTGGCTCTTTTGGCGAAGGCAGTCACACTTTTTACTTTTCTATCCCATATCTCTCCTGGCTAGCTCCTCTTGTCTTTGTCTTATTCTATCTCTGAGGCTCTCTGTGCCCTGTTATCCAAATGAATAAGGAATTATGGATTTGGTCAACTGTTCTCTAAATGCGATTGACACCATCTTCTCGACAAGAAGTTTGGGCTCGGGAGAGCCCACTTGTCCTGCGGGGACATTTGCAGCTGGATATGTGATGGACGGGTGGGAGAAGTGGCGCGTCGTGTGCCTGACTGCTCTGTTTCTGAAGTATACTGAGGATATCTACCTATTTGGAACTTTAATAAAAGGGTTTCTGCTGATGGGCTTATGCGGGGCCCTGGGGTATCGACGATTGATGAAAACGGTCAGTGCTGCTCAAAACCCCACCAAGCCGGCCGGCTTGATTGAAATGTTGATAGGCAGGCTCACTAATAACCAGAATGCAATATTTGATCACAAATTGGAAAACATAAAACTAGCATAACTAACATGAAACTAGCAGCTTTGCAGCAAGATTTGGCCAGATCTGGCGACCGGTGACGGGCATTAAATATCTGTGAAATTGGCAGCTATTGACCTAAAGTTGAAATACTTTTCTTCTCTTTCAGCTTCCCTGTTTTTTTCCTGCCAGATGACCTCGGCTGGATAAAAACAGCTTCTCACAGATAGCAAGATAAGGAGACACTCTGAAACTCCTGCTCCCTATTAAGGACACCTGTTGGACTCTACAGGCTTACACACACACACACACACACACACACAGCTACAGATAGACAATCACCACGTAGCCCCACACATGCCTCTGTGTGCTTTCACCCACTGGAGGGGGTAGGTGGGTCTGTGACCAGCGCTCATTAGCTGCAAGACCAGATGGCTGCCTACCCTCATCGGACTATATCCACATCCCGTTCCCATCCCCTGTTGCGATGTTAAGTCTATGTCTGTATGTCTGTGTGTGTGTATGTGCTTGACTGCTGGGGCTTTTTTTTTCTGTGATACCACACTGCACTAATTCAAGACCAAGGTGAGAGGCAGTTTTTTTTTTCGCCTTCCTCTCCTAAAATGTATCTTACTTCCTTTTTTTAAATGCTACCTCTTGTGACCTATCTCCCCCTGAAAATTGTGATGTTTGTGTATGATCGGGGGTGTCCAATTTCACTATATGGAAGTGTATGTGACAAATAAAGGCCTGATTGAATATAACCATGAATTAAAGCACACAGTCTCTCATCAACAGCCAGCAGTCATGAACACACTGATAGAGATTTTGTAACCAAACAAACAAAAAAATAATAATAATTTGTCCTTCCCTACCTTATTCCAGATAGTTAAATTTGTCCAGGTACTAAAACTGCTGACAAAATACGCTTAACTTTGCTATGAGTAAAGCAGCTTTACCACAGTTCACATCATATGAAGCTCTATTAAAATAAAGTGTGAAGTAATGTATTGTGTATGTATTAAGATCTGTGCACACTGCACAGTATTTAGAATGGTGTTTAAACTTATGTTCAGGTTCACACAGCCCTAACAACTGTCTTGCATAATAATTTAAAAAATATTTAAATTATTATTTTTAGGAATGAAAGGCATTTAATTAAAGCCTATTGGGTTCTTGGTCAAATTAAATTAAAGTGTTTGACGTTTGTTGCAAAATCATATCACAACAATCATATCCATAAAAGGGGTAAAACATTGATCCAACAAACAGACTTTGATGGCTTTATCTGTGTAGCATGAATTGGTCATTTGGAAATTATGTAGCAGAATAAACTTTTAAAACCACATTCATACACTTACCTGAGAGTTGTGGATTTCTTTCAGAGAGCAGTCTGTCCCAACAGCGAAGAATGTCTTTGCATCAGGGGAAATGGCCACCCCTGTGTAGCTGCAGGTTTTCAAGATGCTTTCTGACTCTCGTGTACCACTGAGAGTATTCCACTCATACACTGCCCCGTCCATGCCACACGATACAAGACAACTGTCATTCAAACTGAAAGCTACGGCCTGCACCTAAGACAAAACAACATTGTTTAAATAGGCAAGTTTTAAGAAGACACATTTTCTCCCTTTATTGATCCACAAAGAAGTACACTCACTCAACATTTTACTAGTATACCCGTTTCAAAACTTGTTAGGGCAAATATCTAATGAGCCAATCACATTTCAACTTTTCCATTATTAGGCAGAATGGTTCTGTTTGCTTAAACATTACACTTTTGGTCAATCTGGTCTAGTCAGCAAGGAAACAATTTCAGTTCTCACTGTTGTGTTGCTAATGAAACTTTTTGATATGTAATACAGATGTGTCAGTCATATCATGCCAGTGATGAGAATACATTTATTCATTTTCTTGTCAGCTTAGTCCCTTTATTAATCCGGGGTTGCCACAGCCAAATGAACCACCAACTTATCCAGCATGTCTTTTACACAGCGGATGCCCTTCCAGCCGCAACCCATCTCTGGGAAACATCCACACACACACATTCACACACACACACTACGGACAATTTAGCCTAAACAATTCACCTGTACCGCATGTCTTTGGACTGTGGGGGAAACCGGAGCACCCGGAGGAAACCCACGCGAAAGCAGGGAGAACATGCAAACTCCACACAGAAACGCCAACTGAGCCGAGGTTCGAACCAGCGACCCAGCAACCTTCTTGCTGTTAGGCGACAGCACTACCTACACTACCCACTGCCTCGCCCATGTGATGAGAATAATGACATTATAAAAAAACTGCATTATGAACAGAATCACTTTTTTCAGTAAAAAATAATTGGAAAAAATACTGTTTCCAGTGTTACAACGCCAATAATGTTACTTACAATAAAATGTGGTATCATATAATATTTCCAGTCGAGCTCACTGAAGTGCTTTTTATCTGAATTAGTCTCTGTTAAACTGCTCTGGTGTGTATGAGTTGGCAGATAACTAATGATGATTTGTGGGTGTCTGTGTGTGTGTGTGTGTGTGTGTGTTTGTGTGTGTATGCTTGTGTGTCTGTGGGCAGGACAACCACATAACTTAGGATAGGCCAAAAATGCAGGTGACACTTTCAAAGAGGTAATGCAGTGAGCCACTATATATGGTGGCTTAGTTTATATCCTACTTGAACGTTTTTAAGACATCCATTAGCCTACATAATTACATAATTCATTTAGTTTGTTAAGTGCAAAGATTTGTTTCAAAACTATTTCTATATTCAGTTGTAATTTCCATCAAACGAATAAATGAACAACAATATTAAAGTGTGCTCAAATTTTCCAAATATATTTCCAAACACACATGCTATGCCCCATATGGCCTCGATCCAAGATGGCGCGCGTGTACAACGCGAGGCTCAGGGTCTCTCCAGTTTCTGCATTTTTGCAGTACTATTCCTGCTCATTTCGGGTCTGTTCGTGCAGAACAGTGGTGCCTTTACATCGTACACCCGACAGAAGCTTTTGGATATTGGTTTGTGCATTCCGGACAGTTATATTAGCATTCTTCGCCTCATCCATGAGATCGCCAGAACACCCCGGAATGGGCGCCCTGCCCGGCTGGGCGGAAGTGCTCGCAGACCGCGCAGAGAACGTAAACAAAGACGGGAGAAGCGCGGCGGGCTAAGAGCTAAGCTAAAGCTAACACCACACCGGCTCTCTTTACCCAGCATCTTTATCGCCAATGTACGGTCACTGGTGAACAAAATGGATGAGATTCGACTGCGCATCAACCACAGCAAAAGATTATGAAACTGTAACGTCATGATTTTCACAGAAACATGGCTAAACAACGGGATACCGGACAACGCTGTATCGCTAACGGAGCACCACACATTCCGAGCGGACAGAACGGCGGATGACTCCGGTAAGACCAGAGGCGGAGGATTATGAATTCATATTAACAAAGCTTGGTGCACAAACTCTGTTGTCGTTGGGAGACATTGCTTTGCTAACCTGGAATTCCTAATGGTTAAATGTAGACCTTTTTATCTACCATGGGAGTTCCCATCCACCATAATATCTGCTGCTTATATTCCTCCCGACGCTGATGCAAAGCTGGCTATGAACGAACTTCATGCAGCCATCAGCAAACAACAGACTGCTCACCTGGAGGCTGCTTTTATTGTTGCAGGGGATTTTAATCACTCAAACTTAAAGACAGTGCTCCCTAAATTCCATCAAAACATTCTCTGCCACACAAGGGGAAACAAAACATTGGACCATGTTTACACAAACATAGCTGAAGCCTATGCTGTGACCCCCCTCCCCCACCTGGGTCAGTCAGATCACCTTTCTTTGTTCCTTACCCCCAAATACTCACCCCTCATCGACCATGTGAAGCCATCAGTGAGGACCATCAAAGTGTGGCCAGCGGGGGCAGACTCCACACTCCAGGACAGGTTTCAACACACAGACTGGGGTATGTTTGCTTCCCAGGCCACACATGGCTCTCACACAGACATTGACAGTTACACTTCCTCTGTTCTGGAATATATCAACACCAACATAGACAGTGTTACAACCCAGAAACAAATCACCACATACCCGAATCAGAAGCCATGGATGAACAAGGAGGTGCGCCTCCTGCTGAAGGCACGCAACACTGCCTTCAGATCAGGGGATGCACAGGCCTACAGCACTTCCAGGGCTAATCTGAAGAGGGGCATCAAAAAGGCCAAGCACTGCTACAAGCTTAAGCTAGAGGAGCACTTTTCCAACTCTGATCCTCGGCGCATGTGGCAGGGCATCCAGGCCATCACCAACTACAAACCCAGCCAGTCCACACCCACTGACGTCTCCTTCCTGAACGAGCTAAATGACTTTTATGCCCGCTTTGATAGAGACAATACAGAACCCTACACCAGGATCACTTCCTCCACCGACCACTCACCTATCACACTCACCTGCTCAGAAGTACACACGGCACTCGTATCAATGTGCGTAAAGCTGCTGGACCAGATGGTATTCCTGGGCATTTCCTCAAAGCATGTGCAGAACAGCTCGCTGGGGTATTCACAGACATTTTCAACCTGTCGCTCAACCTAGCAGCTGTGCCAACATGCTTTAAAACCACCTCTATTGTGCCAATGCCCAAACACTCCAGCCCAACATGCCTGAATGACTACCACCCTGTAGCACTCACACCCATCATCATGAAGTGTTTCGAGCGATTGGTCCTGGCACATTCAAAAGACTCTCTGCCATCCACACTGGACCCACATCAGTTTGCCTACCGTGGCAACAGGAGCACAGATGATGCAGTCTCTATAGCACTGCACTCTGTACTTACACACCTGGACAATAAAAACACTTATGCATGAATGCTGTTTGTAGACTTCAGCTCAGCATTCAACACTGTCATACCCTCCAAGTTACTGATCAAACTCAGAGACCTGGATATCGACACATCACTCTGCAACTGGATTATGGACTTTATGACTAACAGACCTCAGAATGTTAGATCAGGTCACATCTGCTCCACCACCGTCACACTCAACACTGGTGTACCACAGGGCTGTGTGCTGAGCCCCTTCCTCTACTCCCTTTTTACCGTTGACTGTAGGCCTGTTAACAGATCTAACACCATCATCAAATTTGCAGATGACACCACAGTGATTGGTCTAATCAGCAACAATGATGAGACGGCCTACAGGGAGGAGATACAGCAAATGGCCACTTTTGTGTGGTGCACGGACAATTATCTGCTCCTTAACACCAACAAGACCAAGGAGCTCATTGTGGACTTCAGAAAGGGACGAACAGGCTCACATGATCCCATCCACATCAATGGGATGGCCGTTGAGCCTGTCTCATCCTTTAAGTTCCTGGGGACCCACATCTCAAAGAACCTTTCCTGGACCACCAACACCTCCAGCCTGATCAGGAAGGCTCACCAGCGCCTATTCTTCTTAAGGCAACTGAAGAACCAGCTTTCATCAGCCGTCTTGGTAAACTTCTAAGGCTGCACAATAGAGAGCATCCTGACAAACTGTGTCACAGTCTGGTATGGAAGCTGCTCTGTTGCTGAGCGTAAGGCCCTGCAGCGGGTGGTGAAAACTGCCCAACGCATCACAGGGATCACACTGCCAGCCATAGAGGACATCCAGAAGAAACACTGTTTGCGCCGAGCACGCAGTATTCTGAAGGACACCTTTCACCCCGCTCACAGACTGTTTTCTGTCCTGCCCTCCGGCAGGCGCTTCAGGCTCCCCCGGATAAAAACCAGCAGACTGAGGAACAGCTATTTCCCCAGAGCTGTCTCCCTCCTGAACTCTGCCCCCCACTGACTCTTTTGCCCCCCAATACACCCCCCACTCTCCTCTAACTTAAACTCCTCACAATAACTGCACTGTTTAACATTTGCACATTTAAAAATTTGCACATTCACTGCACCACATTGAACTGTTTACTTATTGAACTGTACATAACCACTGCATATGGACATTTGTAATTATGTACACATCCACTATAAACATACACTTGTAATCATGCTTATTTATCTGCATACTACTGATTATTAATAGCAACCTGTACATATATTCATATATTGTTACATATACACTTGTAATCATGTTTATCTATCTCTGTACATATATTCATATATTGTAACATATACACTTGTAATAATGTTTATTTATCTGCACACTGATTATTAATAGCAACCTGCACATATATTCATTTCGTTGCATTGTACTTGTACATGTGTAATGACAATAAAGTTGAATCTAATCTAATCTAAAAATATGGTCTAAAACCTGACAGGTGGCCAAATTTGAGCTTGTTTTTAATAAAAAAAATATATATATATAAATATGCATATAATAAATAATACAGCTAATAATAATAACATTATACGAAAGCAATTTGTCATGAATAAACTGAAACGGTCCCTGAGATGAAGAAGGCATGGAGGCAGTGGCTTTTATATTTATGTAGGCTAGAAAATATAACTTTTTAAATATTTTAATCCTTTAATTCTTTATCATTTGTAAATATATTTTCGTATTGCACATCCTGTACATC